AAATCCTTTTTTTCTCCTCCTCTTGCATGTTTCCGCTGTCCATAGCGTTCCTTGACAGCGTCGTTTCTAAGTCACCAATTTAGTGCTACTTGGTCCCAATGGAATTTCCCATTGGGAACCTGCTAGCACTAAGATGCTAACTGGTTAGCAACTTAGTGCTACTTGGTCCCAATGGAATTTCCCATTGGGAACCTGCTAGCACTAAGATGCTAACTGGTTAGCAAGATGCTTCCGACAAACCGGCTACAATCAAACTTGCTTGTAAACCTTCCGCTACAACAATCCCGCCCCCTTGATAATCGACCAATCACATTCACTTTATTCACTCGCGTAAAGTCGGGCACCACTGGGAGAATTCGGAAATGCGCCATAACATCCAGGAGAGGTTTGATAAGGAAGAGTCCGAATCACTTATTGTTTTGAGAGCAGGCTGCACGGGAATTTCCCATCAGCCTTGAGTCTTTTCTTGTTGGTTCTACGTGGCGAATCCAATATTCCAAATTTGTTGGGTTTTTCCGCCTTGAAGCGAGCGCTCACATCCAAGATATTATCCCAACTTACCTTTGAGTTCAACCAGTGCAGCCGGCCTGCGTTCAATCGCACCCAGCATACGGCTCAGCTCCCGGTCCTGCTCGTTCAAAGCCTATGTGAGGTCGTCAACCGCTGCCGGCAGCCTGATCAATGGCGCCGACATCCTCTGTAGAAACAGAATCAGGTATCCTCCAAATCCAAACAGGAAAAATCCTGTGAATCCGATTTAAATCAGATCAGCTTCATTTAAAGGTTCTGTTCACAAAGAGCCAATAATCATATTTCAGTGACTCACAAACACCAGCCTGAACATTTGATTAAGATCATTTATTGTTTACAAAAAGTTTTGATTGGAGCTTTAACACAAAGAAGCTGATTGATCAGAGGAAACAAGAAACAATCAGTTGGCATCAACTTCTTTGTCATGTTGGTGCTGAAAAACCAGAAACAGTTGATCAATTGGACTGAGGTGGACAAACTGGTTCTGTTGAAAAGATGAACAACTAGATTTCTTCTGCATAGATCGGAGGACAAGACTGAATAAAAGCAGCTGATGGAGGGACGGAGGAGGAGAATCTAAATGGGCCCAGAACCGAGCCTTGTGGAACCCCACAGGTCAGAGAACTTGCCTGGTTCTGCTTTAAAAGCTCCTTTCTAACTAAAGCCGGCCTTACGCCGTGCGATACTTTCAATCGTTGCCCGCAGCTGCAGCTCAAACTGCACGACGAAACCGCAGAGTTTAAAAGTTCAAAAGTCACGATGTTTGTTCTAACACTGTGCGACCCGATGCTCTGATGCGATCTTAAGATGGCTGTACGGGGTGTAGCAAAGGTCTTTAGTCGCAGAGTGTGAGCAGGTAGATCGCATCAGAGCGTCGGGTCGCACAGCGTGAGAACAAACATCGTGAGCTGGGAACTTTTAAACCCTGCGGTTTTGTCGTACAGTGTGAGCTGTAGCTGCGTGCAACGATTAAAAACATCGCAGTGTATGTCCAGCTTTCAGTGGTCCAATGAAGAAGCAATTATTCAAGACACCATGGGGGGGCGCTGAGGGACGGTTCCACTTTGGAGACAAAATTACAATAATTGATTCTCAGTGAAAAGACCTTCAGAAACCCAGAAGAACTTCAGAACAAAGAGCTTCAGAGGTTCTGGGAACTGGTGCACTTCATGAGGATCCCAGCCAGGAAGGAGGGTGAGGTTCACCAGGAGCTACGCTAAGCTGAGGTACGAGTGCCTCGTCCGCCTTGCTCCGCTGAGGGGAACCTGCTTCTGGTTCGGCCCACGGACCCAGATTCTTCAGAGAGCAGAAACATTTCTGGACTTAAGCCAGAGCAGAACCCATAAAAACATTAAAGTTCTTTGTTTTCGTCTGAGGGAGAATCTATTGAGAGGAGGGAAGTGATCCATAACATCCGGATCTTCATATCTAACTGGATCCATGGTGGAACTGGATCACTTTGGGTTCAGAAACCAAGTGGACCTAAAGTGTCCACCTCCCTGCTAACGTTTCAAGCTGCAGGAATCGGCTTCTGTCACAGATCCACCACAACCTGCAAACAAACCTACAGGGAAGCATGGAATGGCGGCATCATGCTGTGTGGAACACAGTGCCAGAAAGAACTAAGATTCTTCTTCTGTGGTGGATTCAGTTCTGACCCAAAACCCTCCAGACCAGGGTGCGTTCCTGAGAAACATCTCAGCTTTTGGGTCAGAACTCTTTATTTCGTTCCCTCAAAGGTTTTCACACCCATAAAACGATACAATTTGGCCAAAACAAAACCAGAAAGGATTCTGGTTTTACCAAGTTAAGCCTGTTTGGTCCATTTGGATCAGAACCAAGTGTGAACAGACGATGCGGCTTTAAAATAACTGCAGGGACAGGAAGCAGGAACATCTAACGTGTCTCCAGGAAGCTGCGCCTCCTACTGGTGGGAGGAGTTTAATTTAAGCTGCGTTAATCAGAGATGCCCCTAGTGGTTATGAGAGGTAGTGCACCGCCTGTTTCCCTCACAGGAAACGTTTGGAAGGTTGGAAACAGAAAACAGGATCACATCAGTTCTGACTGAATGCCACATGTAGAACCCAAAGTGGATCGGTTCTGGTTGGGTTCTGATTGGAGCTCCAGAGGCTCCCTCACCAGCTCCATATCGACTGCAGTAAAACCAGTGAAACCAGTGAGAAGAGCGGGAGCTGGAGTCTACGGGCCGAGTTGTAGACCTTGATGCGTCCCTCCAGAGACGGATAAACCCGCCCCCTCCCTGTGATGTAACTCGACACCACGGAAATGTCCAAATCACCTGAAAGAACCAACAGAAGCGGGTCAGCAGAGGCGGTCCGAACCGGTTCACCCAGTGGGAGTGGGCGGGGTTCTCACCGCTGCTGTGCTTCTTCATCTCGTTCTGGATGACGACGAACCCGTCTCCGCCCGTCACCAGGTAGGACGGCAGAACCACGGTGTAGAGGCCGTCGTCCTGGACCGGCTCGTACTGCGGGACCCGACACCTGGTGCACAGGATGCTGAGGCTCCTCACACGATTTCCTACTGGTTTGGAGACGTCAAACTCCACGTGGATTCCTGGAGCAGGACACAGAACCAGTTAAAGTCCAGTTAAACCAGTACATAGAATCCCACTAAACCAGAATTAAAGGTTGGAGCTGCTGTCCAGCAGGAGAAGAACCACCTGACTGTTCCCAACATTCCCATTATTCCCATCCTCCTTCCTGTTCCTGCTTTAGACCACCAGAACACCTCTGAAGGTGGTCTGAGAAATGCCCATCAGCCTGGTTCCATCACCTCACCAGCTGGAACGCTGTGTTTGGAAAAGCAAACCGGAAGCTGAAAGATTTCCTGACAGCAGAGGAGCTACGGTGGCTGAGGAGGACTACAAACATGGATCAATCCATGATGGATGACAGATGGCGGCCATGTTGGATGACAGACGACGTCCATGATGGATGACAGACGGCGGCCATGTTTGATGACACACTGCAGCCATGATGTATG